CGTGCTCCGCTTATCACCGGCGGTTTCACTCATTGCCCTCTCAGGAAGCTAGCGTGCTCCGCTTATCACCGGCGGTTTCACTCATTGCCCTCTCAGGAAGCTAGCGTGCTCCGCTTATCACCGGCGGTTTCACTGATTTGTCTGCTTTTCAAAAGGCATTGCTGGTTATACATTTAAGAATCATGGCTGTTTTATTTATTTATTTATTTATTTATTTATTTATTTATTATTATTATTATTATTTTCGTCAGATGCGACTTAATAGTGGATCATTTTGCATTCTCTGCTCAAACGATATTTAATTTGTTCTGTGTTTCCAGCTATTGGCTACAGCCTGTCCAGGTCCTTATTGCTGTTACACATTTAATGTCTTCTGGTACATTAATTCAGAGGAACACTCCTTAAAAATGGTTTCTGGCACATTAATTTCTGTAATCCATTGAATCCGGCGAGAGGCTGATGCGTGATTGAGAGTCATTTTGATTCCATTGTGCTCTGTATGTGTGATTTGGGTGGTGATTGTGTTATTAATGACTATGCCATTGAAGAGAAATAAATTTAGGACGTCAGAGCAACAAACACTTGTCTGCGAGCAGACAGGTGAGAAGCAAGAGAGACTGAAGGGGTAACGGATATGAAAGATGAATAAATAGTTAAGCCTTAGTGGCTCACTGGTAGCTAGGGGGTGATTCTAGGATTTTTTTTTAAGGTTGGGGGCATAAGAGGTGTCAACTTAATCATTAGCCAATGATATGTTTTGAGGCGCACTTTAGGGGCCAATCAGCTTTCAGCTGAGACCAGTGGCCCTGTGGCCCCACCCCTTTTGTAGCCCCCTTCTGGCAGCTGAGGTTCTTTTGAATGTTGTCTGATTTCTGTGTTTTCCCTCCCCCTTTTGTAGAAGTGCATGGAGACAAAGAACACCATCCTGTCCCAGCAGAAGGAGATGCAAGCATCGCTGGAGAAGGTGAAGGCCCTGGTGCGCCTCATCCAGGGCACCAGTCTGAGCCCAGGCCCTGAGAGCGCAGAGCCATCGGGGATGGTAAACGGCAAGGCAGGACGCGTCAGCGATGCGGCGGACAAGTGTGGCGGCGCCCTGGACGGCGCACAGCGGGCAGACAATGAGGAGGAGGAGGAGGAGGAGAAGGAGAAGGAGAAGGAAGGAGATCATGGAAAGAACGTCCGGAACGAGAACAACAACGACAAAACCTCAGATTCTAGTCAGTCTCCCGTGCCACGCCCCAACAGCCATTCAGACGATGCAAAATAGCGCATGTCTCGTGGGACCAAAGAAAGGAAAAGCCCTGAAGAAAGAGAGCTCCCACTAGCCCAGAAGGTGCCGCCAGTTGCCAATCAAGATATATATATATATATATATATATATATATATATATATATATATATATATATATATATATAGATATTATATATATATAATACAATATATATTTAGTCGTTGTTGTTGTGTATTATTTGAGTGTGTCGACAGCAGATCAGCATCCAGAGTGCCAGCCTCGGGAACTGGAGGAAACCGAAATAGATAGTACCAGCATCATGCCAATCAATTGTAGAGAAGTCACAATAACATATTAAATTAATAATAATAATAATAATAAATAATAATAATGAATAATAATAATAATAATAATAATAATAATAATGAATAATAATGTAAAACATCTCGCCAGTGTGTGCCTGCAACAGTTGCCCCTAAGCCTCGTGAGGGGATTGTTTCTTAGGTTGTGTTGTCTCAGTCTCGAACCCAGGGCAGTGGGGTCAGCAGATGTCCAAAGACTGTGTGCTTGCCGTGAGACCCTGCTCGTATGTCTCCAGCATGGATGGAAATGAACCTTAAACCCAAAGGACAGCAGCACAGGAAACCAGGAACAGGCTTACTGGGAGTATGGGGAAATTGCAGTATTCGTCCACAAGTCCAAGTCATCAGTGGTGTGTGTCGTCTTTTTTTTTTTTTATTATTATTATTTTTTTTTATAACTTTCTTTTTTTGTGTGTGTCTCTCGTCCGTCCATCTGTGTGAGACTGAGTGTCACTGCATTCGGAATTTGACTTTGGTTGAAAACACAGCCAAATGCCCCCAAAATCATCTCACCTCCTCTCTCTCTACTGGACTGAGCCCTCCTGAAAATGAGCGGTGCTGTGGGTGGCCTGAGGAAGAGGGCAGTGGGGGGGGGGCAGGGGTGATGCCTCAGGCACGAGCACTGGCATCGCCCACCACAGCTACCACCTGCTGTAGACAGGCGCCCAGGCCCAGCGGGACTGAAACTGGATGTGGGATCTCGCCTCGGAAAGCCGTCCGAAAACAGCCGCACTGGTCCATCCGGAAGTGTTCAAGTCCGAGTGTCAGCCTCTTGGTGAACCTGCAAAAATGCAATCTCAAAACACAACTTATTTCTGGGAAGTATTCTTTTTATATATATATATATATTAAAAAAAGATTCAGGTCTTCCTCATGTTCAGAAAAAAAAATCTTTAAAGTGCTTTTCTGTTTCATAAAACAATCATTTCTAATAAAAGGTGTAATAGTTGGAATAGTTTCTTTAAATTTTCTTTTTTTGAGGTTATATTTAGGGTTACATGGCTGTGTTGAATTCTGAACTGCCAAAATGCTATCATATCAAAATTAAGCAGGGAGGTCTCTCTGTTCATCAGTAGATGGCAAAAAAAAAGTCGGTTTAAACAGGCTCGAGTTTCGCACCTTGTTTATCCATTAAATGTGTGTACAAAGGTACGAGGTAAAAGAAAAAAATAAACAATTATTTGTTGTAAATCCCAGGATAAGTGAAGACGGAACCCAGAACTGAAAGCACAAATTTGTTGAACAATGAATCCGATTCTAAGCATTACAAACAAATGCAGTTTAAAGGTCTATACAGAAAAATTCTTTATTTGATATGTGCATAGTCCTTTTTATATAAAGTGTTATTGTGTATTGCTCATTGTAAAATTGCTGTAAAAAGGCCAGAACCTTTTTGCAAGGTTTGTCCAGAACATGTCCCTAAAATTACTGACCCCGTTGTTATTGACAGTGGTTAATGTTGAAGGGGGTGAAAGGAGTATCCATAACCATATTCAAACATGACCATAAGTCAGAATGGAGGATCGTCACGCTAAGAACAAATCAGGTGTTGTTTTCAGATGAAATGCTACTCATTCTTCATCCCCATTGTCCATAATCTGTAGCATGCAGATACAAAGAAGAGGTGCTGTCTGTAAAGTTAATGAATGTTGCATCTTCTCTGAATCACTGTAACCACAAGTGACTGAGCATTGAGTTCGGTGGGAGAGGAGCTGCTGAAATCTGCTCCAGTGCTCTCTAGCGAGAGACGTGTAACAAACACTAAGCTAGGAGCTTGGAGAGTAGCGGCATGGTCTGGCCCTTCGTGGAGACTGCGTGACAGTCTGCTGAAGATGCAGTTTCTGCACCGTATACGATAATTGATATTTGCAATTTCTCAGTTCCCCCGTGTGGAAATGTCATCAGTCAGATGCAGAGGCCTGGCTTCTGACAGGACATATTTAAAAGTAGGAAGATGCATTAACAGAAAGTAGCTTCTTCTAAAAGTCACTTGAGATCAGTTGACTTTGCACATAGATCCTTCAACACAAATAATTTTTTTATTTTTCCCCCCCCCCCAAGATTCTGAAAACACCGAAGCACATTCCTGCTATCTTATTACAGGGAAAATGATTATTATCCATTTGTATTAACTGTCCATCAAAAGACAAAATTCATCCAGATAAAATCCAATCTATGATGAAACAGAATGACATTGTTTTGTATGGCCTGTGCCCCATATCAAAGATTCAGGCATAAACTCAGGTCTAGGTGTAAATATGGAATCGTTTTTAAGCCGCTCCCCATCTGTGGTTCCATGTCATTTGAAGCTCCTTTCCTCTCTGCGTCTGGCGCTGACCATAGTACTGCTTCCGCAGAAGTGCTAACCGACCCTCATTCATGTACAGATAACCTCTGTAAGTACCTGTACCCATTTCTACATAACTGGAGAGTGCTGTTCTCCACATAATATTACGGTATGCTTTATTTTACACAGTGCTGCTGTTTCTGAGCCTGTTTTCGTATGTATATGATCACGTGTTAAAACACCGTCCCATCCTGTCTCTGCACTGTGGCCCTAGTTTAGCTTTGTACATAATGTCCATATCTCTTCAACAAAAAAAAAAAAGGGGGAAAAAAGTTTTTCTGTCATTCGTTTTGTGTCCACCATTTCACCCCTGCCCCGGTTAAGCAGATTGTTCATTCTTTCATTAAGAAAAGATTGGATACAAAGCACAAGCACAGATTCTCCGACACAAGCTGGTCTTTAAAAAAAAGATATAAAAAAAAAAATAATAGGTTAGGAATCGTGACAAGGATGCTCCCAGCTGAACCCAATGGTGTGAATCTGTTAGTCATGTCTGGTATATGTGGCTTTGTTTATGTGGTCTGGGGGGTGGACATCTGAAAACAAACTGTATAGCATTCGCCTTAAGAGCTTAATTCTCGTCTTTAACAATTGTAGTGTGTTCAAGTATTGTGGGTCATATTCTGTTGTCTGTGTCGGGAGTGATGTGTTGATTTGGTTCATTCTTGAAATATATCTACCAATAATGGACTTTTTGCACAAAGTTTTAAGTAATTCAAATGTGTAAATGGGGAACATGTCAACAATCAAAGGGGGAAGTTTTTACGGGGTTTATGTGTTTGTAATCTGGGCTGTTAAGTGGTAAATATTTGAGTGTAGTGTCACTGGAATATTTGACGAAATGATTCTTACCTCTAACTGGGGTATTAAAAACCAGCATCTGGTAGTACAGCCTGGGGAAAGTGGTTTCTACTTGGCTAGACACAGTACTTTAAAATGCTAGTTAAAAGGATGCAATTGCACCAAACACAAGAGGTTTCATTAACATGTCTTAGTTCAAAGAGTTTTGTTTTATTCCTTTTTATGTCCAAACGCAAAACAAAATGCCTAAAATGCAGGAATTACACAGGCTCCTAGCTGGAAACTTTCTTGCTGCTTGTACATCTTTGCAGTTTATTTGTTCCAGCAAAATATAATCTTACTTATAGTTAATATAGCTTTTCAAGTACACTTGTGTTAATATACATGTTAAGTAAAACCACGCTGACTACGAAGTTTAAGGTTGGCAATTGGACTAGCAGTCTTTTGCCAGAATTTTGTAACTTTATGAATATGATTTTATTATAGAGACCGGCACTTCAAGGAAAGGTAAATATGTTTTGCATTAAACAATGTATATAAAACATTTGCAGGCCATGATCAGTGTAGAATTTAAACTTCAAATAAGAGTAACAGCAAGTGGAGCTCAAATCTAAAGCAGGATGAACTAATCTCAGATTTACTCTTACCTTTAGGTGTGAGATGCTGGATGCTTTTCAACTTGCATTTTGAAGTGTGGTGGAGGAGGAAAGCCACTGGCTTTGAGGCACATGTAGAACACATTTTATATTTGCATTGTGGGAAGAGAGAAACAACCTGACCATACAAGCCACGCATTGAACAAGTATTCATTTATCTAAAATGGATATATCCAAAGATATCTTGATGTGCATTCTGCTGTTTAGAATCCTTTTATATGCATTTTAATACATGCCAATTCAATTTTATTTTATTTTATTTACACTAAATTTCTACTTCAGCTTCAAGTCAGAGTAGGAAATCCAGGATTTTAAGGAAACGGGACCTTTTGCTTTGTATACCCTTCTCATGTTGGCTACAATATACCTCGCCTCACTAACCACAAATCACAATAGTTTTGGCAGCTCGTGCCCATTGGCCAAATGCCGAGGTAGCAGGCCAGAGCAGGATGGCACAGCGTTTTAGGACCATCTGGATTTTGAGGGAATCTGTTGCATATCCGCGGAAAGGTTTCCATATGGAGCAGCTTGTGAACACCATCACCCAGCATCTCGATATACTCCTTTTGCAGCCCCCCCCCTCCCCCCTCCCCAAAAAGATACATCACTTCATGACTGTGGCCTTCTGGTGTTGGTGTATCACCATCATATTGTGACTTCTTCTCCATTGTTCGACACTTTTTACAGCTTCTTACCTCACGCATTGTATTTTTTTCCCATGAGTCTGCAGAAAGAAAAAAAAAAAACTCTTCCACTGTGTTAAACACAAAACAGAGATGCATTGTAGCTCTATGAAAATAAAGAGGTACAGTTGATGTGCTGAAATATGTGTAAATTGTTTATTACACAAACCTGCGTATACTCTTGTAGGAACTGTTTGTATTTTTACATAATGAATTTCAAAAGGAGTGTATGTTTATTTTTGACTTTTTCAACTTTTTGTTACAGATCTCCTTTTTCATTTGCCTGACGTTGTTGGAGAAGTGCAGTTTCTTTACCACCCTCTGGTATATGAGCCTCTTGAAATGTTGTTTGTATGCAGTGTTTAGCAGATACCTTAGACAATGGTGGACGAAGTGGACATTTAGGAGCATTTGATCAATTTGTATTTATTTATTTTACCATTTTGCTAAATAAAACTTCAAAATCAACCCTTTTGATGTCTCTGGTTTCATGTTAATGCTCAACAGGCCATTGTCCAAACTACCATTAGGAAACTAGTAATAAAATAATCTGATAAACATGGACTTTGGAAACATTTGCATCTTTTTCACTTTGGTTTCAATGATAGGAGACAAAGTTTTCCTTTACTTGACTTAGTTATGCTGCAAAACAGATTGTTGCAGATGCGCAATATACTCTCCAACATACTTTTCTGCTACTGGCTTGCAGTTGGCTTTCAACCATTAGTCAATTCCCATCCCACTGCAGTCCAGGCCTTCATAGTATCTTAAACTGTTTTTGACAGTCACTGGAAATTTTATAAGTTACAAAAAACGTTTATTCACATTGCTCTGACACTCATAAATGCCAAGGCCAGACGCTCTTGGTTTTCTTGCGGCTTGGCTATGTGGTACAGTCAGGTCTTGGGGCCTAGCTGAAGTGGTTTTTGATGAGCTCCTGCCGGATTCTAAAGGCCTCGGAGTCTGATAGGTCTATCTGCTCACAGCCCTCGCCCAACTGGTCCGGTGTCTCTGTCCTCCCAAAAGTCCACGCATCAAGGCCAGACTGCAGTGATACGTTGTGCAGGACACAGCAGGCCAAGATAATGCGAGCACATTTTTCAGGAGAGTATTGCAGGTACCCCTTGGACCCATCCAGGCATCGAAAGCGGGTCTGGATGGCTCGGAATGTGCGGTCCACAATCTCGTGCGTGGCCACGTGAGCCAAGTTGTAACGGTAATCAGCAGGGGTTTCTGGGTACTGGAGGGGTGTCATCAGCCACTTCTTTAGGGGGTAGAGGCGATCTCCTGTACACAAACAGGTGAGGAGTAGAATTTCAAAGTAGAAAAATCAAACAATTAGGTAAACGTATTCCTGACATGAAATGTAGGTAAAAGGGTAAAGTAACACAATTACAGAATATAAAAGTAATAATGCTTACCCAGTAACCATCCTTCATGACTTTCCTGTTCTTCAAAGAAAGTCTTCACGGCAGATTGTTTAAACACTGCACTATCATCTAAACTACCTGGCCAGTGCGTCTCGGCGCTCAGCAGAAGGCCCCTTGAATCACATACAAGCTGACAGTTTATGGAGTGGAAGCCCTTCTTATTGATGTAGGACAAGTCTTCGCTGTTGGGTGCTTTAATCGCGATATGAGCACAGTCTACGACACCAATTACGTTGGGCATACCGGCCACCCTGTAGAACTCCTCTTTGGACTGATGCTTCGTGGCATCGTCACGCATAAAGCCGATGAAATCTGAAGCTTTTTCTACCAGTGCGTTGGTGACGTTTGTAACGCAGCGACTCATGGATGCCTGACTGATACCTATAGCATCTCCCATGCGAGTCTGGAAGGACCCCGACGTGTAAAAGCCGAGGGCGGCCAGGATCTGCACGTCCGGGCTGATGGCTCTCGATCTCTGTGTACGTCGTGATAAAGTGTCGCCCAGAAGTTCCACCAAAAAATAGATGAATTCTCGCGGAAAGCCAAATGTTGTCAATAAAAACTCATCCGACACGGTCTCTATGTCAAACCTGTCCAGGGTCTTGTGTCCTCGACCGTGTAGCAGAAGATCACAGTCCAAGATAGCTATAGGTACGGCCATTTTCCACTTAGGCGATTATTTTGGATGTCAGTTCGCAGAAGTAAACACGACACGACCTAAACGCAAGTTTGTTGGCAAGCTAACCTTATAAATAACGAAACAGGCTAGCTTTCGGGTTAATATAACAACAGCCAAGTTTAATTACCAAAACGCGAACCGTTTCGTTAACTACTGCAAATTTAACAACAGGGAATATGCTGCAGACTTTATACGATCATCTGCTACCTGGCATGCTTCTTCTCCATCTTTTCCCTAAAAAAGACCAGCAGGATTTCATCCATATGAGTCTGATCCCCCTCCGTAAAGTAAAAGCCAGCTGATGAGCGGTGAGTAAAACTATTCGTCACTTTCGACTTCCAACAACGTAATAGTGACAGCTGACAAAGTAACTTTCACAGTAACTATGCAAGTATAATATTTACTATATATAATTTGAATAGCTAAATTTGATATTTATTTAACTGAATTTAAGTTTCGTAGATATATTGTTTTATTTTGGCGTAAACGTTGTAGCGAAAGTGCTGGTTTTATTAATTCATGTACATTTCTAAACAGCGGAAGTACGGTTGGTGAATAAATCGATGAAAACCAACAGTGAAATGGTCCATACTTATCTAGTCATTTTTTGTACTGAAAGTAAATAAGCAACACATTAACTTAGAGTTGAAGAAAAACATTACAATATCTTATCTAGTCATTTTTTTGCATGTATATTTTACATAACTACTGGCTTATCGAAAATACTTGGGCATTGGTGTGGTTTGCATTTCAAAAGTAACATTTTGTAAACAAAATAAACTGCACTTAATTTGTTTATAATTGATCAGAATACTGTGTCCAAGGACACTGTCGTATCCCTTTGAATAAAAATTATATGTAGTTTGATATTCACTTTTGCAGCTATTTAACCACCTAAGCATCTTCATGGTTTGATAAAGAGTTCTCTATTATGGACAAGATATAAGAGGGGAAGTGCAAATGTTCCTTCACAGTGTCGAGCCCGTGTGTAACAATGGCTATTGTTGTAACAAATTAGTCAGTCTTGCTTCTTGTTTACTTGTATTTGCCTAGAATGTTTTGCTGTTGTTTTTGACTTAGGAGAATTTTGGAGTGCTACAGACTGGGCAGTGAAGATGCAGACTGAAGTACAGAAATGTCATGTAGTTACTATGCACCTCTGATAAATGAAGAAAAGAATTGCTACAAAATAAAATTGGTTTTATCTTTTTAACAAGCCAAGCTGAAACTTCAGCAAAGATTTCAGGCTTCCATAATTTCCATAAATGTACATGAATGACACAGACATCGGTACTACATCTGTACAAATATGTATTCATGAAATGTTTAAATTTGAACCTACCAATTATAAACATTTAAGAGAGTTATGGAGGTTTGTGTTCAGGAACTTGTTAGCAAGAAATTTACTTTAAAAATGATGCTGGAACGTTAATTGTAGGTTCCACCTACTGTGTCAAATTTAGTTCAGTAAACCCACACTGTTCAATGAGAATTTTTGCAGCCTGCACAGAAATACTTCCCTTTTAGATTTGCTGTCACAAGCACAGCGAAACAACTGTTGCAGCAATGTACGACAGTAATAGATTTTACATGCATGAGAGATGTAAGCCTCCAGTCTGCCCCCCCAAAGCACCCAGCAAAGGGAATAGATATTGGACATTTCGTCTGTATCTGCAGAATTGTAACTGGTGTTAATTCTAGAAATGGCAAATGGACACCTGAATAAAGCTAAAGAAAATATTTAATGAATAAAGTAAGTCATTTACTGGGATGTACTTTTTTACTGAAATTTTAAATTCCAGTGTTTATTTAAAAAAAACATATTGCAAGTGTCTTTCTACAGTTAGGTTGCATGTATTCTTAAGGGAAACCATTGAGTTGGGTTACTGTAAGACATCTGAACAATAATATAGATTGCTTTGTTGCTGTGTCACTGACCTTAAAGTGCAGTTAAGCCAGTTTAATTAGGTCCACACCCTTAATTTTTTTTTCAGAAAAAAAGAATGTATGAAAGGTGATGTAAATTATATGAAACTATATATACTTATTATATAGTTTTATTGACTGAAAAGTAATCACCACTCAAGTCTGCCAATCCAAAGGTGGTCCCAGCCTTTAATAAAGGGGACCAGAAGATGTTTCAGCACTCCTCTGCCTCTGTGGCAATACTCGAAAAGAGATTCCATCTGTTGCTTAAACCTCAGATCCAAGAGAAGCAATGCGGATTCCGTCCTGATTGCAGAATGCTGGACCAAATCTTCACCCTCACAAGGATACTGGTGGGTTCATGGGAGTTTGCCCGGTCAGTTTATATGTGTTTTGTGGACTTGGGAAAAGACAGGACCGTGTCTGTGGGGGGTGCTTCTGGAGTAAGGGGTATGGGGTCTCTTATTAGAGTCATCAGGTCCCTATATTACCTGAGCAAGAACTTGGTTTACATTGCCAGCACTAAGTCAGAAATTTTAGGTATATCAAAGGAGCAGAGAGGGTCCAGTTCGGGGGTGTCAGGATCACATTTTTGCTTTTTGCAGACAATGTGATCCTGTTAGCTTCACTGGGGGTGACCTGCACATACACAGGGGCAGTTTGCAGCTGAGTGTGAAGTTGCGGGGATAAGGATCAGCGGGGATAAAGATCAGCACCTCCAAGTCTGAGGCCATGGTTCTCAACCAGAGAAGGGCAGTTTGCTCAGTCCTGATGGGGGATGGGTTATTGCCTCAAGCAGAGGCGTTTGAGAATCTTGGGATTTTGTTCATGAGTGACGGAAGCAGGGAGCAGGAGATCGACAGGTGCATTGGTGCAGCGTCTGGAGTTATGTGGGCATTGTATCGTTCTGTCATGATAAAGAGCTGAGCAGGAAGGTGAAGCTATCGATTTACCAGTCAGTCTATGTTCCTACCCTCACCTATGGAAACAAGCCTTGGGTAGTAACCAAAAGAATAAGATTGCAGGTACAAGTAGCAGACATGAGTTTCCTTTGCAGGGTGTTTGGGCTCAGCCTTAGAGAGAGGGTGAGGAGCTCAGACATTCAAGAGGAGCTCAAAGTAGAGCCGCTGCTCCTCCGCATTGAAAGGAGCCAGCAGAGGTGGTTAGGGCATTTATCTAGGATGCCTCCTGGACGCCCCCCTGGGGAGGTGCTTTGGGCATCCCGGGGCAGACCTAGGACACGCTGGAGAGATTACATCACTGGGGTAATGGGCCTTGGGCACCCATGACCCCGTTGCTGGTTTCCCAGTTGGCCTTCATTTGATCACTTTTGATAAGTACTAACCACTGCAGTTTTGGAGATGCTCGGACCCAGACATCTAGACATCTAGCCATCACGGCTTGGCCTTTGTCAAAGTCACTCAGGTCTGTACTTTTGCCCATTTTTCCTGCTTCCAACACATCAACTTCTATAATGGACTGTTCACTTGCCTGATATATAATGGTATCCTTGACAGGTGCCATTGTGATGAGAATCAATGATACTCATTCACCTGTTAGTAGTTTTAAGTTAGTAGTTTATGGCTGATCAGTGTATTAAGTTTATTATTATGAAGGATACTTTTTAAAAATATGACGTGTGGACAGTTTCTATTGAATGAGGCATTGCTGTTCCACCTTTTTTTGTATTTGCAATTGTTGGTGTCCAATTGTACAAAAAAGGACTATGGTGGAGTTTCATGGCACAATGTAAGTAACATTCATGACCAATCCTATAAGACTGAGCTCTGTTTTTCTGTCATTACAGCCTGGCGCAGCCATTCCCTGACCTAACACCTGCTCTCTTATATTCCCTTGTTTACACTGAAACAGTCAACTGTTTTTGTTCAGTCTCCACCCCGGGAATATCTGTTCCTTCCTTTCATCTGTGTGTTTAAAGTGCCATGTTTACGCAGTCTCTTCTTATGGTAATGTAACTTTATGAATACTAGTTTTTCATTAATATGATTAAAGCCTTAAACCTTTAAACGTAGCTAAATGTAGACTATATAAAACCAAGTTTGCAGACTGTCAAAATTAAACACTTTATATACGAGGAAAGAGCAAACATACTGTCACTGTATAGTACAATTTATTATAGTTCGCACTTTTGACAGGTAATATAAAAACTCCTGAGCCTTAAGAAACAAGACCGCAGTAAAACACCACATTAGAATGAGGTCTTTTGGGAGGGGAAAAAACCACAGCATTTCATTTCCACTGTAGCAAATAGAAAACAGCATGGCTTACATCTGGAGAGTTCAGGTAGCTAAAATGGAGTGTTTGAGGGTAGGATGCACAAGGCTGAACAAGGCACACACACAAGTTAGGTAGCTTCTAGAAAGACAAATTCACCATTTCCCCGTTGCACAGAACACTGGATATCAAAAGTAGTAAGAGGCAAAAACATCAAAAGAAATAAAGCTTTAAAAAGTGATTCAAACAAAACCATATAATGAACATTAATTCATAAGTACAGAAGTGAACACTTTGGCACATGGAAAAGTGCAAAAAAAAAAAAAAAAACACTAAAACAACTATTTAGACTATTTAATACAGAAATGTATCCAACTTAAACCAGTCCCTGGTAGGACCTTGACAGATTTAGGCTGTCTGCTATGCATGAGCTGAAAGCAAACTGGGACTGCAAGTCAACTTTGCCAAAAGATTATGACCATACATGTGCACCATTCAACTGAAAGGTTCCATCTCTGCACTTCACAAGCACGAAACAAAACTAGCCCAACTGCCTTTCCTGCCAATTAAGCAGCTATTGTACATGAAATATGTGCCTCTGGAGAAAGGGGAAAAGCAAGTGGCTGACATGTACTGCACCATGCCAGAAGGCGTGTACAGAACTCAGCCCACAACCATCAATATGCCTGTAACACACAGAATACATCTGAACTGGCGCATAACACCTGACAGATGTGATTCACTAGTTGGATGATGGCAAAGTTACACATTGCAGCACCTAAGGTGGCACGGTGAACTCTAATGTCCTTTGAAACCAGAAAATGACAAAGGTGACAAAATAGAGTGGATCCTGAAATTCTGCCCTGTCTGATTTACCCAGAAGATGTGGTCTGGTGAATACCACGACTTTTTAACTGTGTAATTGTTTCAGACCATTAATCTACAAGCTGAAATATTTAACTTTTGAATTTGTGCTTTTTTTTAGCTGCTGATGTGTTGGGTAGGTCTGGATCCATTTGGAAAATAAATCACTAAAAAGATACTGAGTACAATATTTTTATGCAATGTGCAGAAAAAATTACCATGAAAGCGCTAAATAAAACAGCGTCAGATTTTATTCAAGTTTCATTGCACTTCCGTTTTCATGTTTTGAAATGTCATGATCTGAGGAAATGGTTATTTTCCATAATGAATCAAATCAAAATACTGAGCACAAACTAAATTTCGCTTTACAGAATACAGTAGTACCTCGGTTCTCGAACTTAATCCGTTCAGGACTCCGGATCAATTCCTAAAAAGTTTGAGTTCTGATCGAATTTTTACCATAAGAAATAATGGAAAACCAATTAATTGGTTCCCGGCCCCCCAAAATTACACCTAAATGTTTTTTTTTTTTTTTAAGCATTTAAAAACAAAATGAACAGGATAAAACAAGAGCAGCATTTTTTTTCTTAATGGCTTCCAAAACAATAAAGATCTTATCCCAACACCAGCCCTGTCCTGCCCCGATCATCCGCTCCTTCCGTGTGCTACGCCCCCTCGTTAACCTCGTGTGGGATCCCCATGTGATCAACTGTTTCTGGTTGTTGTCATTAGTCCTCTGTATTAAGTCCGCGTTTCAGTTTGTTTCCCCAGTCCGGTTATTGGGTGCGTTCGACTTGCTTATAGCGCTGGCTTAAAGCAATGCATTACGGTTAGATGCATTGCGACCTCTCACCCGGCTGCACAAACTGGAACCGCCTCCATGACGACACACCTTTGCCCTTATTGGCTGAAGAGTTTAGTTACACGCATGACGTTTGTATCCCAGGCAGTTCCGATGCGCAATCTATTTCTCCCGAATATCACGTAAAGCAGTGAGAACTGGTTTTCAGTTAATTTACCTGGTAAAATAAAGTTTAAATAAATGACATAAATGCTCTAATAGTACACGTAAGTTAGTGGTTTATTTATTGTTAGTTACTGTAATGTTGCGCTGCTTTATTTGGTTAATTGTCCAGTCTGTGAAGAAGGCATTCAAGTAAGAATTGCATTGTAGTATGACTCATTTCCTGGCGCGTACTCGATATTCAAACTGGTTTGTTCGACTTTAAAGAAATTCGAGTTCTAGTGAGTTCGAGAACCGAGGTACCACTGTATTGTGAAAATAAGTGTATTATAACAGTATATAGAAGAATAATTCTTCCTATCCACTTGGAAATTAGGCAATTTAAAATCAACGGATTATATAAATGAGATGTGGTCATCTTAATTTCTAGCAGAACAAAGTACTGTAAAAAAAATAAAAATCAGTAAAAGTCTGTACCACTGTACCATTATGATCATTTTCTATATAAACGTGTCTCGTTGAGTAGAGCACCTGTATCATACTGGAGGCACTCAAGAACAGCTGATTGCCTCGACCTTAAAAGGAGCACAACCATGGCATGTACCACGTGCGATAATGCAGCCATCTTTTGGGAATGTGAAGGGACCAATTACAAAAAGGCAGTCCAATTCCCTCATCTCGCCCTTAGCCCTTACGTTGGTCCGTGTAACATACAGCCTCCACCTCATTCCGTTCTATGTACAGTAACAACATTACACAAGTAGCCACACTAATACATTTGGCACTAGGGGGCAACACCTGTGATTGGGCTGGATTTAGGGTCGGACGGTTGAGAGGGACGCTATTAAAAAAACAGGAAGTGCTTCATCGAGTCCAGTTTTTTGGCTATGGGCCAAAGATCTGGCTGTGCCGGTCAAGCAGGATTCGTGTGAAGTTGTTAATGGGTCCGATAGCACTCAGAGTCATGGCAGCGTCCCGGCCCCACATAAGGTTTGGCCCAAACACGACAGCCAGGTTCATGTTGTTCATCTTGTTCACCTCACTCTGTGCAGACACCTGGATATGGGAAGAAGGCCAATATATATATATATATATATATATATATACGCACAGCAGTGGGAATTCAGCATACTCAGCGCAGTTTGTATGTCTGTAATGCAAGAGGACCTCCAATCCCTAACAGCCAGTGGTCACACAGCAGCTGTAACTGCATTCTCATGGTCCCCATCTGTGGGCCTGAGGAAATGTGAGGAATGCTTATCTGCTAACCAGATCTGCTCCATGTGATTGTCCACTGCTCAGTTCCACAGGTTATTTAAACAAGCCATCCTTAGACTTTTTCTGAACAAGCAGACAGAAGCAGAACCAGGTATTGGTTAAAATAACAGGTTGAAAATGCAAACATTAAAGGATTCTGATTCCTAATTAGTCCTGCAACCAACTACCTGACAGGTAGGTAATGAAAGGTAAAAAAAAAAATTTAAAAGCTGTTACTAAGACCCCATAATATTCCACCTTTTTTGCAAGGGAAAAAGGTCATGATACTTTACAAAGGTCACATGCAAGTCAGGAATCATGTACTGGAGCTGCAAAGCAAGTAGATCATCAACCAAGTCCAGCATGTTTCATTCTGGACATCTAGCTGCTGCCTGTCCATTACGTGTGTAAGACATGGTAAGTCATGTATTCACTTTGAGGAAGCCAAGAGGTAAGTGACAGTTCTTCAGTTATAGGGCTATGAAAATGTACAGCAACTGTCCCGCATGGAGAGTTCATACCTGTACCAGAAATTGTATAAGGAACTTGAGAGCTGTGTAGTTCTCCTTGGGCAGCGTCTTCAGCAGGTCACAGATCACGCTAGCCTGAGAACTGTTCTCCACATCTGAACGTTGGAAAACAAGACAAATGATAATGATTGAAGTCACCTGACAAACTGCATTGCAACAATATGCAGGGTTACACTTTGAAAACATCCAATGAATTTTAAGTTGAGAAAAGTAAAACAATCTAAAAAATGTCATGGCACTATGGAAATGAATAATTCATATCAACTGAGATTAACCATTGTGTGTTATGTACGGAAGCCCGTTTTTGGCATCTGGAGTAGGAGAAAAAAAAAAACACATTTATCTCAGAATTCTGACTATTTCTTGTAATTCTGTGTTATTTTCTAACAACCAGCAAGTACTGGGAGCCATCACTTCTGTTCCTGCTTTAATAGTTCAATGCAGTGGTAGCTTAATGGTTAGGGGAGCACACTTGTAATTGAAAGATTGCAGGATCGAATCCCCGACCAGCAGGGCACCACTGAGGTGCCCTGAGCAAGGTACCACCCCCAAGCACTGCTCCCCGGGTGCTGAATTAGCTGCCCCCTGCTATGTCACATATGGGTTAAACGCAGAGAACACATTTCGTTGTTGTGCACTGTGTGCTGTGGTATGTCAACAATGACAACTAATCACTAAAAATGCAAAGTATGTACAGTAGCAGACAGGACCGAAGGTTACAACGTCTGGCCTGTGCAGGTGTTTTAATACTTCCAATTGTGTGTGTGAATGGTAACCTGCAATGATAATTACCCTGTAAACGTTAACCAGACTGGCATCACAAGAATAACTGAATCACTCAAACCAAAGCAATGAAGGCAGGGCTAGTGCCACCCTGTTTTATTGGTTTCATAATATAGTGAGCTAACATGAAATCCAAAATACTTGCCAGCAGGATGCATTATGTGAATACTTTGTGTTTGAGATATATTCCTAAATAGCATCCTACAGAGGAGGTGACACTGCCTGACTGGCAAACAACAGGCCAGGTTTAAAAAACCTTACTGGAGAAGTTGACTACATCATTGTACAGCTGGTATGTGAGGATAGGTTCAGGCAGCTCCCTGAGGAACGTCTTGAGGATGACAGCAGCAAGATGGACATCGGCCAGCTCATGTAAGTCAACAACCTCTCCTGCATGACAAGAGCAGAGTGAATTAGGACTAGACAGATATATACGTATATATGTTAATTTAGAAAGTTATATACCCCATCTTGGCAAATTTAATGGAGTTACGATAAGCCACATCTACAAAATGGTATATAAATGAGTTTATGAAAGAAAATCCTCTAGACTAACCTTTCAGATGTGACTTTTCAAAGATGCAAATGTGCATGTCCAATAAATAAAAAATTGTTTAAATAATCGCAAAAATTAATTAATTGATTGATTGATTCTGTGGCAGAATTTCAAATTTCGCGGCAGCGCGCAAGTTGGATAATGGTAAACAGAAGGGTCAGCTGACCAAAAACATTGGAAATAAAAAAATATTCTCAGTCGTTTCTTGTTAAAATACACCACACATCTAACACAAAAAAATACAAATATTAAGTTTTGAAAGCATTTTTCTTATGCACAAATAGCTGTTCGTGTGCACGTTTTCGATAGGAGCTGAGGGTTAGGAGTTGGAGCATCATCAGCTGTATGCTCACGCTAACTTTGTGGGACTCGCAAACCCACTCGGAATGGATCAGGTCCCTATCTTAGGGACTTACTGTGTCGTCACTTTCCACTGTGGCATGTTTGCAGCTGTAAGTTGTAGCGCACATTACTCACCTGAATTATATCTGTTCTGTATGCTTTTCACAAGGGTCACGTTGGCAGCTCTGCGGAAGATTCCCTCTATTTGTAGGCCTGGCACATTGCAGGGGGAGAAGGTGTAAAGGCAATGGGCAGGGAGACAGTGACTGGGGCTGCATATGGACGTCCCACCACATTCACAGCCGAACTTAATATCATCTCTCTGTGTGAAAGCGTGTGCGATGGTGCGGCAAACTCACCACACTCCTTTAAGAAAGCAACTGTCTCTTGCATCACCAGTGGAATCCCCTCTTTATCCGCATTCCTCTCACTCAGCCTTCACCCGGGAAACATACACGTCAACAAAACAGTCCAAATCCACCTCAGTCGTACAAGGAGACAGTGGGACTCAAGCCCAGCCAGGCCGGAGCCCGAAACTGAACAGACACTCACAGAGAGAGAGGGACTCCAAACTGCTGGTGAGGAAGAGGGGCCGAGGGTGTGGCAAGCTGAGAGCCCTGATTGGCTGGCTTCAGTGAGGCTCTGATCTTCTCGTCATACCTAGTAAGAGTCGGAGGAAAATCTTAAACTGAAGACAGAACAACTGAAATTACACATAAGATACAAACATCCAAGCCAAAGTTGTATTCTCAATGCCGTACAACAACAAAAAAAAACCTAGTACTAGGTTTTTTTTAACCATTAAAAATAATTAAATTATTGTGGTTCTACAAATGCAAATACATGAGTGCTCTGAGATATGTGGACTTTGCTTTCCAGGATAATGCCCATTACGTATTGTGAATCTACCCATCTATCAATCCACCTTATATTCCTTCATCCAGTACCAGGTTGTGGGAGGAAGGGTGCGGGTGTGTGTGAAGTGACAGTGCAACCCACTGAGCCCCCTGACTTAGAAAACAGAAGCTTCAGAATTAGGTCTAACAAAACTTGGCAATAACAAAGCAGGTTCTTACTGTCTGACAACGTCCGGTATCACCAACTGCTCACACTTAACGATGTCTTGAAGCTCACTCAGGTAGTTGACATAGTTGATCTTGCGTCCAAACTTAAAACTGTTAAAGAAAAAGTATGCTATTTGGCTGATTCTGGGTGCGAGGGAATATAATTTCTTACAAGAAATGCTCAGTCTGGCAGTTCATTGGAAAAGTCGATAATTTAACTTTAGTTTTGGCAGAAGAATGGACAGACCTGACTGCATGTGTGCCCATACTTTCATTTCATTCATACTTTCATTTTCATTCATTTCAGGACTGTGCTGGATTGGGTACCTGATCAATGGCTTGAAGAGGAAAAACAGGGTCCTGATTAACATGGTTGGGTGCACGATATACAGAGCCTTGATGTTCTTCTTATATCTGCATCAGGGATTGAATGCTTAGTGTGCTACTCTTTTTATGCCAAATAAAAAAAGACAATAATAATATAGCTAAAGATTGTTAAACACATCCTGCTCGCATTTGCTGCTAAATTATTACAACTCCACAAATATGGATAATGGTACAAAAGGCATTTTTGACTAATACAATTTAACATGCATCCTCCTGTAGTACCCTTTTGTGATATCCAACAGGAAATGAAGTAATCTTACTTCCTGTCAAATTCCCGGTAAGCATCTTTGAGCCAGCCTAATGAGGGCTTGTTCTCTTTGGTGAGGCCGTAGTGAAAGTAGATGAGAGTGTAATCACTCTCCACATACTGGTCCAGAGTGTGCTTCAGATAGCTAAAAGGGAGTCGGACAGAGGGTTACACAGGATGAGCTTTAGCACACATCTGGCGTTTCCCATGACAATGAACAACTTTTCCATGAATACCACTTCAACATCTCCAACGTTTCAACGTATTTTACTCAAAAAGTATGCATAGGGCTCTTAAAATAGACAGGAAGAGCAAGGTGACATACAATGCAAATTCAAAATGCTTAGTGGAACTCTGTAGTTCCTCAAGATCAACATTAAAGTGAATGACATGGAAGAACAGATTTGAGTGACCGAGAGGGTCAATTTCATGTATACCAAACACCCACTTCAGCAGGCTGTGGTGGTTCAGCTCATGGCAAGGGGGCATACGGCAGGCATTGAACAGGATGACCTTCCTGCCATAGTTATCATCACCTTTGCACAAAACAGAAATACGGTATAAGCAGCAAGGCCTAGCGCACCGTAGCCAGTACTCAAAGGAGACCACATTCCAACCTTATATATCTCCATTTAGCAAAGTGGCTAACCCCTCTATGTCAATAGTATAATATATAACTGTATGATACAGGATATGTTCCTTTCCTTTAAAATCTTCATTCATTATACACTCACCTAAAGGATTATTAGGAACACCATACTAATACGGTGTTTGACCCCCTTTCGCCTTCAGAACTGCCTTAATTCTACGTGGCATTGATTCAACAAGGTGCTGAAAGCATTCTTTAGAAATGTTGGCCCATATTGATAGGATAGCATCTTGCAGTTGATGGAGATTTGTGGGATGCACATCCAGGGCACGAAGCTCCCGTTCCACCACATCCCAAAGATGCTCTATTGGGTTTAGATCTGGTGACTGTGGGGGCCATTTTAGTACAGTAAACTTATTGTCATGTTCAAGAAACCAATTTGAAATAATTCGAGCTTTGTGACATGGTGCATTATCCTGCTGGAAGTAGTCATCAGAGGATGGGTACATGGTGGTCATAAAGGGATGGACATGGTCAGAAACAATGCTCAGGTAGGCCGTGGCATTTAAACGATGCCCAATTGGCACTAAGGGGCCTAAAGTGTGCCAAGAAAACATCCTCCACACCATTACACCACCACCACCACCAGCCTGCACAGTGGTAACAAGGCATGATGGATCCATGTTCTCATTCTATTTACGCCAAATTCTGACTCTACCATTTGAATGTCTCAACAGAAATCGAGACTCATCAGACCAGGCAACATTTTTCCAGTCTTCAACTGTCCAATTTTGGTGAGCTCGTGCAAATTGTAGCCTCTTTTTCCTATTTGTAGTGGAGATGAGTGGTACCCGGTGGGGTCTTCTGCTGTTGTAGCCCATCCGCCTCAAAGTTGTGCGTGTTGTGGCTTCACAAATGCTTTGCTGCATACCTCGGTTGTAACGAGTGGTTATTTCAGTCAAAGTTGCTCTTCTATCAGCTTGAATCAGTCGGCCCATTCTCCTCTGACCTCTAGCATCAACAAGGCATTTTCGCCCACAGGACTGCCGCATACTGGATGTTTTTCCCTTTGCACACCATTCTTTGTAAACCCTAGAAATGGTTGTGCGTGAAAATCCCAGTAACTGAGCAGATTGTGAAATACTCAGACCGGCCCGTCTGGCACCAAGAACCATGCCACGCTCAAAATTGCTTAAATCACCTTTCTTTCCCATTCTGACATTCAGTTTGGAGTTCAGGAGATTGTCTTGACCAGGACCACACCCCTAAATGCATTGAAGCAACTGCCATGTGATTGGTTGATTAGATAATTGAATTAATGAGAAATTGAACAGGTGTTCCTAATAATCCTTTAGGTGAGTGTAGATTCCTGTCATGCTCCATACGTGGAACCATTAGGACTGGGGTGGCCATTGCAGAGGCAGTCTTTCTGACATTGCGCTCCTCTGTGAAGCAGCGGTTGTCAGTGAGCATTGTTAAACCGAAGCAACGTTTTAATTACACAAGGCGAGTAATTTATTTCTGTTTGTCCAGGAAGCAGTGCCATGAGGTTCCCATTTACTCCAGCCCTTCCTCATTTTCAAATAACCATGCAGCAATTCATCAGAAACATCAGAAGTATATGTAATAAGAGCATGACGGCACTCATTAAGAAGGTGTTTCTGTCCTCTGAACTACTGGATCTTTTTTTGTTTAACACATAATGCTCTGTACACTCCAGGCACTGTAGTGTGTGAAAAGCCGTTTCTGAGATGCTGGAAACATCAAGTCTGGCACCAATACAACTAACCAACCATAACAACGCAATAAAACTCACTTAAAACACACCTACTGCCCGTTTTAAAGCCCTGATGAACAGTAACCGAACCCCATGACCCAGTGTGCATGCTGCATCGACTGAGTTGCAGTCATGTGACTGCTTGTGGGAACACACTGCAGGCATTAATTATAACTCTTACCTAATACACTGTCCACTGAGTGTAGACACACACACGTACACAGGCACACACACACACATAGACACACACTGCGACTTTACCTGCCACCTCCACAATTTGGTGTCTGGCAATATCGTAGTAAGGGTCGTCCCACTGTAGCAATGCACTGCCCCCTTGTTCACTGGAGATGTTGTTTTCTGTGTCGGATAACAATGCATAGCATCTTACAGTGCTTACGACATCTTACGGCAACTGAAATCAAGCATATCACTTTACTCGCTGCTCCTCTCACAGCTTAACACCACACCTAAAGCCATGACGTGGTCGTAAGGCCTGGATCAAACCATGACTCCGTGAGTCACCCTCACGTCAGGCACAGCCCGTACATCACAGTCAGGCTCACCCAGAGCACTCACTCTCATGCTACTCACTCCTCCCTACGAAAAACTACCACAGACTTTATGTCTTACACTGTGCTTATTGTTTCCTTTACTCACAGAACACAATAACTTGTTATCTTGCTCTCACTACCCTATGGCTTTTGGTAAAATCTTGACAAATTCTGTGTTTCACTGCATCACCACTAACTCCTCATTTCCAGGGCTGAGAGTCCTGATCTTACACGGATACTTAAAACAAAAGCTAAGCAAGGCAGTAATTATTACATCATAGGCAGAACATTTTGCAGGCAACCAGCTACCAATATAGCATTAAAAGACAAAGTGAGACATTTTTAAAACACTATTATGCTGTTCTTCCCCATTATCTATGAGATACTGTACAGCAGTGACCCTGTGGAGAACGTACTGGACGTGCTCCTGTCTTCCGATTCCTCTCGGAGCCATTCCTCAGCTGACAGCTTCAGCTGGTCCAAGTTCCCCTCTTCCTTCAGGTCATCTGTGAGGTCAACTAGTAGGTCTGAAGCCATTACCCACAATGCCACTCTGAAGTGGCACACACGTGGGCAATACCTGTGCCAGAAAAACCTATGTTGTAATATTAAACACTTAATTAGTGGAATTTGCAATGCGATAAACCACAGCAAGATGACAATCATATAACCCTAAGGCATGTCATATGCCAAAGGTTAATAGGTACTAACATTAAGTTAGAATTATTTTAGTATAATTAATTTAATTTAGTATTAATTTAGATAAAATTAGTATTAATTTCATGGAACATGAACATGCTTTTGTTATCAATTTTGAAACACATTAGTCATCCCCACATCAACATATGGAGAAGGGCAGCATCATTTGATTGTTCTTGTCAATAGTCTCAGGACTACAGGTGTTTATGTCATAATATTGCCATAAACATTTGTGTATGACGTATAGCAGAAAATCCACATATGTCCATAAAGCTCAAGTTTAATTTTCGGTAATGGGAAGCGGTGTTACTCAGAATAAAAAACCTATTATATATTAAGTATTTATCAACAAAGATATATCAAGCTAAAACGGAATAAAAGTCATTTTGCATTTAAAAACCGAGCACAGCAGAAACACGTATATGTATATAATGTCTGGATGAGAATATGCAACTCACTAAAATGCCTGTAATACTGTGATCCAATGGCATTTCTCGGGGCACGTTTGAGCTCGCTTGGTATGTTATCAGGCATAAAAATCACATGCAATACTACATACTAATTTATTTTTTCTCGTTTATTTCCAAAAGATACCTTTAGTCGTTATAAACGGCAAGTTATCCATCTTGCCCTAATAAGCTTAATACGCATATGCTGGAAAAAAATCGCCCTACACTCTGATCGAGCACCATCTCACGCGTTAACCAGCAACACACTATCTCCCTTTATTAATAACCCACATAAACAAGCACGACAGCCAGGGTTACATAACTCTTTCTTAAAACTCATTACATGCAACATGTCAGTAGTACTAAAAACAAAAACGATGGACCACTACCTTAAATGATTTTCAAAGCTGCAATTTCATTTAGATACATATTTGTTATAGAAGCTACATCGATATTAACCGAGGTTCGCGTGTGATGCGCGGCCGAAACACGCCGGTCTTACGGGCGATTTACATACATATATACATACATACATACATACATACATATACTCATATATAAGCCGCTGGGTAGCCGTGCGGGGCTGCAGCTAACCAAGTAAGCACCAGGCACACTGTCAAAAAACCAAAATACACCTTTTTACGATGAACTTGTCCCTGTTAGCGACGACAGCACGGACAAGCAGAACAAAAGAACAGCAGAAAAACACACAGCAACATCAGTATTGAAAGAAAAGAATATATAAATATAAAATACCTCGTAATATACTTGAGCGCGAGAGCGAGCTACAGCGTCTCTCCCGAGCGCCACACGCAAACATCCGTTGGGGGGCGGATGTGGAGCTTCGGGCAGGGCGGGGCAGGAAGGCCGCGTGTGTGTGTGTGTGTGTGTGTGTGTGTGTGTGTGTGTGCTCGCGCACGCGCAAACGCACACAGACACACACACACGTTTTGAATTCATATCTTTATGGGTACTCTACATTCATTTCTGTGGGAAAAACCGTAATCACAGCGATGATACTTTTGATCCATACCCAGCCCTAATTTTAACCATAAGTAACCAAACAAAATACAGGACTTTTGGCATTTTTAGTTTTTTGATTAACATTCACACATTTCTTAATATAAAATTTAAGTTTATATTGTAGGGACCTGAAATATGTGCCTACAAGTGAAAAACAGAATTTACCATATTGCGGTACAAACCCACACACACACAGACATCATAGATAGATAGATAGATAGATAGATAGATGCACTTTATTGATATCGAATCTGCACGTGTAAAAAGGGAGTTTAAGTTTATGTGAGAGGGTGTATATAGATCTATTTGTTTTGTGTATACGCACCCAGATACAGATTTGTACTTTGACACGTCTAGAAATGACAACTTTTTAATATATTTATAGTCCTATTTACAATTATAAATTGTACCATTATTTGGGGGCAAGCCATGCTCTTTGATCATCACGCAGACACCTAATCACTTAATTCATGTACTTAACAGGGCACATGCTTGATGTCATATGACAGATCATGAATACAGTACATCAAGGACAGCAACAATTACTCTAAACTTTATTTATTACCCTAAAGAGCAAAACATTTAACTGAAGAAAAACATATTAATCAATATCAGTGGAAGAACCTTCGATGACTTTCTTTAGCCACCTCATCATGCGAAATACATGGGTATAAAATCCGTATTTTCCATCCCTGTCGCAACCTTCTCCCCATGAGACGATTCCTATCTGGTACCACCGGTTGTCGTCTGGATTCTAGGGGGGAATCACATTCATTCAGGACAAAATTACTAAAGCAGCACATCTTTAGGTTTGGCTAAATGCTTAGTCCATACTCACGTAAAGACCAGTCTGTAACCATGAAACTGAAGAAATGTTGAATTCTCTCCAGTTATGCTATTTGATGCTTCACAAATTGTATAATTGCGCACTTTTGAACAGCTTTAATACAGCAACACAGTATCAATGACTAAAATATCAAGGTTAAGAAATATATTTTACCTTCATAACAAATGGACCTCCGCTGTCCCCTTCACAGGCATCACCTCTAGTAGAGTCTTCTGGTTTGTATCCTGTCATGTGGAGAGCAGCTATCATGTGTGCTTTCGCCCATATTTGAATCAGTGCAGCAATAGACAGAGCAGGTATTGTGCTGTTGAATGACATTTCCAAGCACATATCTTTAGAAACAGGAATCCATATCCAATTACCTGCACAGAACATGTTGTCTGTGATGGGGATGTTGGTGGAGGCCCTACAGGTGTCCTGTTCCACTATGGGTAGGTGGATCTGTTGCAGGATGGAGGGCAGTGAATGTTGGTCGGGGTTCCATGTCTCCTTCAGGTTTCCCCAGCCAGTCACCCGACCCTTGTATCCAGAAAATAACAACCTGGATGCAGAAAGAAAACTCTGTGTCTCAAGAGGACACTTTGCTGATGGTTTCTTCTGTGTTTTGCATACATCTTGATTGTTACTCTTTTTTTTCCAAATGGAAATTGATGTCTGGATAAATATGTATGAGCAATTACAGAATTTCTGAGTGGTATTGTCATTACTGAACAATCTTAATAGATTATTGTCAAATATGCAATAATATGAATAATAACATAATAAAGAATTGTGGAAACAGGGTCTTTGGACATTAAATGCACAAAAAAATAAAAAATAAAACGCAAAACACCTGTCCTGTCAGCTGTGATTTCACCTGCATTTGTAGTAATAATGCCGGTGGATTCTTTAGTTTATCTTACGTTCTTGTAATTCCCTTGTTTGGAAGACAGATGGGGTGGATTTGCGGTGTGAAGCTAACAGGCTTCTTCATGTGTAACAGAGCAATGTCTCTATTCAGGTTCTTCTGCCAGTTGTATTTCGGGTGGACGATTATCCTGTCGATGGCTACGATTTTTTCTATGCCTCGCTCAAACCTGTGTGTCGAAGGGGGAACATAAGGTCAAAAGTGTGAAAAACAGGTTTGCAACATTCATTAGTCGCCTGACCTGGTACTAGAATGATGTTCCCTTTTCCTTACCCCCGTCTGGACACACCAGTGTCGCAGCTCCCTTCTACTCACTTGGTGCGGGAATGTTTGCCAAGGCGTACGAGAATGTCATCTGTGGTGTAGTTCTTGCCCCAGGCCGGGTACAGGATGCAGTGGGCTGCAGTGAGGACCCACTGAGAACTGATCAGACTGGCTCCACACAGAAGTTCCTGGGGACTTTTCTTATACAGCATCACCTGCCTGTCAATCAGACCAAAAGTCATCACTGGCCATACATACTGTAACACACCTTCTCAAAAATTAAACCCACAACCATTTTGGGATGCTAATAAAGCAAAGGCCTATGAAAATGAATTTGCATACATGCTAACTAAATATCAAAAAGTCTTTTAGTGGAAAAGCAAAATTACTTCAGATGATGTCATTTCTTACCATGGTGCGCTGCCAACCTCTGCATCCAAGCCTTTTACGATTCGGGTTCCTCCGTAAGATTCCAGAAGTTCCTTTTCATTTTGATCCTGTTTAGTTTCCTTTTCAAACATAGGCCGTTCTCCACACTCTGAAAATCATGTCCGACCACAAAATAATAAATATTTCCTAAGTGTAGCTATAAGTAAATATGTAACATTGCAAAAACACAGAACATTGAAAATGAGTATAAAGTATAAAGTATATAAAAGAGGACCAAGTGCATTTCAGGTTTAGTAACATAATCTTTCTAAAAATGTATCTCTTTTTGCTATGGTTTATTAAAGATCCTCTATCTTCTTACCTAATTCTCCATCACCAAAACTGCTGGCGTCAAAGAAGGCTTTGCGAGGTCCAGAATCAAAAGTCCTTTTTTGCCCTACAGCCTCCTCATCAAAATTGTTTAGGGGATCATCTGTTTTTCCAGTAAAATCAAACATGGTTTACTAAGAATGCTATAGAAAAGATCATCATAAGTCAGAAAAAAGCTTGATATTGATTAAAACATGTGACCAACTCTATAAATTATTGAGATGTCTTATGAGATATGCCATTTAATCTGTAATTTAAAGATGACGTCTCATCCAACTATCAGGATCTGGTATTTTTAAGCAAATATGATTTTACCACACATATCCAGATCGCAATAATCCATAGTGACATTGGGGTAATCCACAAAGCACCAGGGTCCCTCAAAGTCGTCATCAGGGTTTCTGCAGTGGTTCTGCACCAGTGTTACTTCTCGGATGAAGTCTGCCTTGGCTTTGAGGGTGACAGCTTTTGGGGACGTCCAAGGAAGACATTTGAAGCCTCTCTTAGTGACAGAGAGGGTTCCTGTGTAGTCCAGGCCGTTATTTCTAATGCATTCCTTCTTGGTGGGTGTTTTTGACTCTGTAGCAGGCTTGGATGGCAATGGAACAAAGGGAAGCCCTGTGGAAAACGACACACGTGGATATTTTCTCAGGCATTCAATTTGCCGTAAAGTTTTCTGGTAAATATCTTAATGACCAGGCCCATTGACATGCGCCCTGGGATAATCTTAATTATCTTAAACATCTAAATAATGTGCTCTTCCCTTCCTGCCCATTCATCTTTTAATTACAAAACCAACAACGTCTTTCCTGAGGTTTTCCTGAATGACATGCTGCAATGTGAAATGGATAAATGTTTTATTTTTTCTCTTAGTAAATAGAAATGAAATTATGCTTTATTTGCTATTTAGTACAAGGACTATGGAATGTTTCTTCTTGTACATCCATCCTCATACAGAGTTAACAGTGAAGCTTGGGGTCAGGCTATTTTCAGGAGTTAGGGCCTTTGTTCAAAGGCCGAGCAGGGACTTAACTGTTGTGTTGTGTATGGGATTCAAACTGGTGTCCTTCTGTTCACAGGCAGAGAGGCCTTAGTCAATGAGCGGCCCCCACACCCAAGTGATAAAAGTAAGAGTTAAACTGAGCAGTATTTCCCAACTTGGTCCTCAGGAACCCACAGACAGTCCACGTTTTTTGCTCCCTCCCAGACCGTGTTTACGTTTTTGTTCTCTCCCAGCTCCCAGTAAAACTGTCTGTGTCAACTGTCTATGGGTCCCCGAGGACTGGATTGGGAAACACTGGAATCAAAGGTGGATTAGAGCTGCCTACCACATTTGGGAACATGGCACTTCTCTTTCCTAACAGTGGGATCCCGAGTGAAGCACCACGGTCCCTCGGGGCTCTTGTCAGGGTTCCTGCAGTGGTTCTGCGTCAGGCTCGCATCCAGTGAAACGTTGAACTCCCTTGAGACACAGACCGACAGAAACGTGGCATCAGAAGACTGTCCTAAAGGGTCAGCAGTGACGTCTACGCGGGTCCCAAAACATACGTGATTTTGTGTGGGAAATTACTTTTCCAGTACTGACAGGTCTTCCCTGATACTGTCACTGCAGAATTTCCCCTGTAATTCACTCCAATTCCCATTATGCAAGTTCCTGAGAAAATAAACAAACAAACAAATAAATAAATAATATATATATATATATATGGCCAATATCAAGCTGTTTTGAGACAATATCAGGAATTAGTATTTCAGCACTAAATGCAGAAAAGGATTTAAGGCATCTTGATGTCTCAACGAGTAGCGATACTGCCACGCACTTTCAGGGAGGGGCTCAGAAACACACCCCCATTCTGTCTTGGGCTTCCTCTAAGTTGCCCGTAAAGTACGATTGTGTGTGAACATTTGCCTTGAGTCCATGGTCAGGATAAGATATTAGAACAGGGCTCTTCAAATACGACCCTCGATTCCAAATCCAGGCCTTGTTTTCAGTTCTCCCAGGTAGTTAGTTTAATAATTACTGATTCTGATTGGTCAGAGGCTTCACACCTGGCTCA